CTTTTGAGGTGAGAACTACTGAACTCAGAATCCCTCAGCCCAAGGTTTACTTAGATGGTGGGGGTCTCTGCATCCATGTCAACAGAACCTTGACCTGACCTGGGTCCTCGGTTTGGAGTGTTTAAGATTATTATCCTAGGCCCGCTCCCATTTCTGCTCTTCACAGGCTGTACTCCTTCGAACCATTCCTCTTCATTCTATTGCTTTACGACAGTATCAAGACACAGCATGCAAGTTATGGGAACGGTGACCATATACAGTCTCAGGATGAGCTTGTACGGCTGAAACCTTGGATAACAAGAAGTCGCCTAGGCGTTAATCCGAAGGAGTTCAAAATGTTGTATGTTTCAACTCCTGAAGTGAGTGGAATAAGCTTTATTTACTGGTTTGCGAACCAATCTAGATTTTGATGCTTTGGGAAAGCTTTGCATCGAGCAATCAACGCTTATTATTTTAGAATCCGTATCCTCCATTAAGTGGGGAGTACTAAGGCAAAAAGTGATGAGAACCAACTACGCTGTGAGTTGTTGCATTGCTCCGCAAGTGACCAAGAACAGATTGGGACTCCTTCTTCTCCACCACGCTTGTCGTCGCCAGGAGCTTTGGAGAAATGATTTTTATGACTAACTCAGTTACAAATTTCTTGTAAAGCCGGCTTTAGTGACTTACTGCCATGCCCTTCCTCATGGTCTTAAAAGCGTTTTTCGGGCCAAATCTACTTAGAATGACAGCCCCCCTATGAGTTGTGCTCAACTCGAGTCAGCTGAAAAGGTACAGGGCGGTGCAAAGAAATGTGTTATCAGGCTTAGAGCCAAACCCTATCTCCAGCGTCTCTGATTTCTTATTCGTCTTCAGTCTCTGTCGGAACCGGGATGACCTGGCCACAGTCTACGAGCTTCCCTTCCCCCAAAATCAACTATTATGAACCTCGGCAAGGTAAACTAGGTGGAAGGACGGCAGGAGTGGATTGTTAAACAGCTAACCAAACGCTAGAGTGGGCTTCCTCCCACCAAGTGGGCTGTAATCCCAGGGAAATGCCTGTGGGTTTGAAAGTTAGTGTGTTCGAAAGATCCCCAGACAAACATCCTGGCTTACGAGGTTTACAACCAACATGAGAAGGAACCTCTGAACTTGCCAATCCACCCACGCTTCACTATCTCACCCCCTTCCCGTATTCTAGTTTCCACCCATACTTGCCGCCAACGCACATATTTTCAAGCTCTCTCTTCTTTTTTTACCAGCCAAAGCTGTAGTAAATTCTATGGCTGCAGACCATCATCAAGAAATCAGTTGCATGCAGTTCATAAATACTTTTGGCAGCTCGTCGCTTCTTCACTTAACTAGTCTCCAAACTACAGTGGGGAATAAACCGAAGGTAAGGAAACCAGCAGGAGCCAAATGCAGGAAAGCAGAGACGATTTTAGCGTCTAATAAAACAGCCAGCCTGAACAAAAAGAACCCGGTCTGATGGTTTAGTTGCGGAGGTTCTAGAGCTGCAGGTTTTCTATGCTCCCTGTACTCGTGTGGCTAACAACATGACCGGGTTGAAATTCTATTCCCTGGGTATGTGATTTGTGGACTAATTTACTGACGGACGTAGCCGTAGACCTTTCAGCAAAATCGCCCAAAATGAGGCTGAACACCTTATAAGGCTTACCAACAACGCACTCAGATCCACATTAGCCCCGCCAACCACCGATGTCCAGTGAAACCATACAACGATGGCCAAACCATATGACTTAGACGTAATAGTTCAAAAGCCAGTGTTTTCTTACCCTTGTACCTTTATTGTTAGAGGAAGACACTGCATAATAAAGCTGATGCATTACCTGGGGATATTAAGGCAGGTGCGTGGAAGCCTGGGGGATGGACGCCGACTGATCGAAGACCCCAGCACTCGCCAACCCATGTCCAATGATTGAAAGGCCAGGAAGTGTGTGGAGTTGTTTGCCACTGTGCCACGACCAGGAATCCTATGTTGTCCCTCAGACAAGCAGTTTACTGGACTCTAATCCAAGTAATTATGCTTCTTTACTATTTACATTGAGGTAGCCAACTAAATGGTTCAGAAATTCTGGAATAACCTTTGTCAAGTGGGAGCGACAACCTAGATCGGATACAGCGAAATGCGATTTTAGCCTCCCAAAACCAGATGAAGCCTAGGCGGCTCAAATTCCAATAAGTTCTCAGGAATTGGTGGAATTCATCTGAGAGTGTTCAAAGAGTGTACCGATGTTCCAACTGTTACACTTGTAAATCAGACATTCACTTCTTGAGGGCAGACTGCCTCCTGATAAGGAAGTTCCAAGTTCACAAGGATACAAATAAACTACTTGCCTCTAAATATAGACCAATCCTTTAGTCTCCCCATTTGCAATGGCTGTTTAGGATTCTTCCTGGTGCGAACTTGGCAGACGCAAAGACCAATCACTAATTATTCGGACTTGCTATATACCCACGAATACGGGACCAAGGAAGAACACGATAGCGTATTCGGATGGAATGGTATATTTAAATGGTTGTGCCAAGATACCGATGCGTTCCAACTAACTGGCTAGAGAGTCGAATACGAGCAGTGCAACGTAACACGACGGTGTGTCAAATGGAGGGGATACTTGACCGGGTGCCTTCAGCTTAGCGAGTCCAGTTAAACTTTAAGGTCAGCATCAATGTCGAAAGTCGTCAAACCCTAGGCTATTGATTTTGGGGAAGTGTATGATGCTACAGCTGCAAAGAGCGTTAAATGACTCCGTTCATGATTATCCGCTCAACAGCTCAATCCTTACTGACTGTCGATATGAGAGTCATGCAGCTGCAACATACTGATAGCATGGAATGAGTGGAATCTGTCTGTTGAGCAGAAAAGACCATTCATATTGTGCTACTTGACTATTCTGAGACCTTTGACGGGCTCGGTCAAAATATCCTGTTTAGATAAATTTGGCTCGTAGGACTGCTGTGTTGGCAAGTGACAGTCAGTTCGAGCAGACTACCCCTTATCTAAATGGTTTCCGGTACCGGGTGAGGTGCTTCAAGGTCCCATCCCTTTTCCAGTTATCTGGTTTCATAAGTGACTTGCGAGCAGGCCTAGCGTCTCCCTTCCTTTTATATTGTGATAATCTCAAGGTTTGGAAGGAAACAAAGCGTCCAACAGATGTTTTGTGCTAACAAGACGTCCCTCCTTAAGCCACAGGTTGGACAAGTTAAAGCCTTCCGCATCTCAACCTGGAGAGGTGCAGAACAATTATTGCAGAGAAACATAGGTGTATTCTAGTTCCTACCCCATGGGGGGAGCAAATATTTTTTCAAACACTGTGCAGCGTCCCTTCATTGTTGTCTTGCAGCCAACAAGGCGTGCGGAGTCAGGGTTTCCTCTCATACTCTTGGAAGTGTAATCCGAAGCCCCTTCACTACAGTGTACAGACTTGGAAGCTGTTCTCATCTCCGGGGGACTTCGTTAATTGTTCTCTCACACTTGAAGAGGGACAGTGCCATCCTTGATTGGGTCAAGGGAATAGCTACGAAGAACATGACTGAATCACGTCACAAACGCTATCCACAACACCTATTTGTTCTTCAGCAGCATCCAGTAAGATACAGTAAGATCACAGACGATGTGACTACGTGTATCACACCACTCATAATCCCCCTCATCCTAGCTGATCACGCTTAAGTTCGAATGAGAAAAAGCACCTTGGAGTTCATCCCCTCAAGCTAGAGCACGAGTGAGAAGGTTTAATGATCCGTGCCTACTCATTTGCAGTTTGAACATTTAAACTATGGAACTCCGCACCTGAGAAGGTTATCACAGCCCCCTCCCCCGACGCTTTCAACAAGAGGTTTGACGCACACGTAGAACTCTTTGGCACGAGTGGGCTGTACTTAAGAAGCCCGTCCTAGTCTCGCAAACCACGGATAACAACACTACCAATAGCCAACTGATTTGTCAACTAGTTTCTGTCCTTCCAGGTTTCTTTGGTTCGGAGAGGCAATTGGCCACCCTAAAAATAGAACACATTACATCAGGACAGTTTCAGAACTCGAGGAACCATTGTTCGCCATTTCTTCAACACAAATTTTGAAGTGTTAACAGGGCAGGAAAAGGGGTGACCTTATTATGGCATACAAGGTCACCCATCAGGCAGACCATGCAAACAAATCAATTTTGCCTGCATCTCAACGATCTTCACGAGGAAACCCCATTAAGATAGCACACCAGAGAGCCAACACAATACTCAGGTCCAAATTTTTCTCCCTAAGAGTATGTGCTTTATGGAATGCCTTACCGCGACACATTGTTATAGCTCCCTCAGTCGACTCATTCAAGAGGCGATTAGACAGTCATGCCACCTCGCATGGACTACCAAGGACGTACTCAGGTAGTCACCAACCTCAGCACCCCCAACTCCCTCCTAACCACAACTCACCATCTCCCTCCTTAATACACCCACATTACCTACTAATTCTTCTGTAGGAACCAAACCCACGCGATCATGCGGGCAATTCACAAATACCTTTCTTTCGTTTTCACTTCTCTTTTCACCCCCCTTTTCTCCCCCCCTTTCTCTTCCCTATATTACTATTTTTTCCTCTCTTTTTTTATTCTCTCTTCATTCCTTTACCGCCACCTAACTATTCTCTTTCAGGTACCTACACAGACAGGAGTCGCGGCAGTTCTTTAAACTTCCCAGCAATCCGTAGCTCCCTAATCACTCTACAGATTACGACTTACTAACCCACAAAACATCCACCTCACCGAAGCTAAAAGCAAGAAAGCAGAGGGGATTCCCTCGTCCCCTACAGGAGTGAACCGAACAACTCGAACCAAGCCCTAAGAACTAGATGACAGATCAAAAACTACCACTTTTCTACGCTCGCACTATCAGTATTGGATATTAGATATTGGAAATGTGCGTTTCATTAATGAAGGCGTGGAAACTGAGGAACCGTCGTTTGCTGTTGTGGCAACACCAAGTTTGAAGTTTTCAAGGGTCTTCGCTATTGAAAAGCAGTAGGTAACCTTGACGGATGGCTGACCTTGGCGGCTATGGAAAGATATGACTACTTGCTGAAATTTTTAATTATTGGGAATGCAGCTACTGGAAAGACATGCTTGATGAGATGGTTCTTAGAAGGGAAATTTAAACAGGATTCTCTTCATACTATAGGTGTTGAGTTCGGGACTAAGATACTCAGAGTTGATAATAAGTCGGTGAAGTTGCAAATATGGGACACAGCTGGTTTGTGATAGTTTGTAAGCCTAATATCTTTCAGGCCAAGAACGATTTCAGTGCATTACACGGTCCTACTACAGGGGTGCTGCATGTGCACTAGTAGTATATGATATTACTGACAGGGAGTCATTTAATGCAGTCAATACCTGGATTTCATCTGTTAGAGACTTAGCTCTTCCGAACCTGACCATCATATTGATAGGAAATAAAATTGATTTGGAAGTCAGTTCGAGAGAAGTAAGTGATCCACTAAATCGTACCTCACTGACTCCACATCAGCCGTATTTCACCAGTGTTTGTATTATTATTTCACTAATTTTAACTATATGTCGACCTACTTGTTCTTTGCAAACTACTTCCCACATATGCCAGTTCATTTCTTTTCGTAGGAAATCAGTATCTCAGACTCTGCAACACCACTGATAAGTCACTGCACCCCAGTCGTTACTGAAACCCAGGTGTTTGCGGTAGTCTTCCAATGGCCCCTGCAGCGATGACTGATAGCAATGTGGTCTATCTACGTCCACCGTTCAGTCGAGGTCGGTGGCCATCACGTCAGACAGTCCGTTTCTTTATGTCAGAAGTTTGTGCTAGCCATAAGCAAGCGGTTATCCGTGCAACCGTTATCCGTTCGTTTGTCTGGAATTCCAGAAGTGTCACCTAAGTGTTTTTCCGTCTGACTTAGCCTGCCCACTTATGCATTGAAATTATCTGCAACGACAACCACGTTTGAATGCGTGGCGTTTAGTCGGAGGTTAGGCAGTTTTTGACAAAACTCGTCCTTCATGCGAACCACAGTCAGTGCGTTCGTAAACAGAGATTACAAAGAGACAAAGGCGAGTTTCACTGTTATCTTCAGTTTTCACTATTGTTCAGTCGAACAGTTCCCAGACGACTCTCAGCTGAGATCCAGTCGAGCAGTACACTTTCTGCCTTAGCAATTAATGCTATACCAAAACCTGCAGGACCCCGAGAATTCACCGTCAAATCTACGGAAACCCAACGAGTAAATTTCTCAGATTCACCATGATGACCGGGTGGGGTTAAGTGAATAACCGCACTTGGGTCTTGTATATGTCTCACAAATACAGCGCATATCCATGGACTGAGATACACAATATTTAGGCTAGTGAGGCTCGGTTTCCGCTATACTGGAGAGTGTGAACACTGAAAGCTTGAGATTGTAGTTTGGACCGTGGTTTCAGGAGACTAAGGATGCTGTTTCATGAACTTAGATTCCTTTCAACAGCTGAAGAGCTGAAAGGAATTACAGATAAGGTAGGAATGTTGACCAACACTAGCGAAGAAAAATTAGAAGTTAGGGATGTAAAAGGTAAACAGTGATCTGTAGGAACTTGAGAACTGACAGAGTTGGTGGGTGGTTGACATTTCTCGGCTTTCCAAACCGTGGGAAGTTAGTTTTCTATCGAGGCACCTGACAAAGGTTTAGTACATGACTGCGAACCCCAACGGACATCTCCTTGAGGCCAGCCACAGTCTTTGTAGAAGTTTGACAGCTCACTCTGTCTTTTACAGACCCGACTTGGCACGACGTATCGCCGGCACCGGTATGCCGCTTGTCATAGGAAAGGCAGCATCAGCGTGACACTATTGCTTACCCCCGGGAAGCACCTTACTGCTGTCACCCTCCGTCTAGCCAGCAGTACGACTTCATGTTCGAACCCCTATCATAGCGTAGAAATTTATACTTTAGTGGCAACTGCCTCTTGTCTTACTACCACCATCCAACAGACGTTTCTGGTATAGTGAGGCCTCAAGGAAACAATCGTTCCGGTCAGTCTAGCTCGTCAGCCTGTTGTGATATGCAAGCCCGACTACCACGTCAGGTTAGCATAAATCGGTTGGGAACCTCTTTAGGTTACTTGAATCAGCAGACATTGACATGCTGTCTTGCGGAGTGGACCTGGTGTCAAATGCTTAGGGACTGGTATCTCAAGACAACTATCGGCTCCCATGAGTTCCTAGGGGTTATCTCAGCTTTCCTAGCAGGTCATGAAGCGATTACAACAAAGGTTGTATTCACCATAGAATGACATCACTTGGATAATTATATTGAACATGAGAGCACTGAATAGTAAGGTACTCTTCGGGAGTACACGACCCCACCAGGGACCGAACCCAGTACCTTCAGGTTTCACGGCGAACACATTAGGCATTAGATACTGGGTCGGAGTCCAGTGGTCCTATTCTAGGACTTATTCTAGGACTTAAAATTATGATGATGTCTTTAGATCTCTCGTCGAGTCATCTTTCCAATAATCAGGTTTTCTGCACTTAAATCTGGAGCTGTGGCTTGTTGGTTTCAAACAGTGGGTTAAGGGTTCAAATCCTGCTTCACTACCGAGATTTAGGCAGCTTGATGGTGTCATAGGCCATCACACAATAGGGGTGACCCCTTGCCTACTGCGCGAAAGTGCTGAAGGTTGCTGACTGCATTTTTCTTCTGCATTTAAACCATATCCTTTCATTCAATTTATTATCATTTCATCATTGTAATTATTTTTGCACGTGAACTGTACATTTTGTCCAGTTAAAACTATAGACAGCCTCTCTATTCATTCATACTACAGTTTGGATTATACGAAGAATGCATTCTATCAAAAGCTAGCAATTTCGCTACATAAAGCATAATAACAGGTGACTTTAGTGCTAAAGTTGGGAGGCCGAGCTAGTCAGAAGAGCATCTTGAAGAAAACTACGAAATCCCATGTGTTGCAATTTTGTCTCATGACATCTACCAATATGAAGCCGACAATGAACACATCATATTACTATCAGCCATGGAGAGTACTGAGGGAGTCTATAACGTTAATCAAAACTCTCTACTCTAACTCACATAGTTGTGTCAAGGCTTGCGGAGAGTTATCATATGAATTGACGACAACCAGTGTTGTCAGATAGGGATGCCTGGTGTCACTTATCCTGTTCAACTTCTTTATAGATGCACCAGTGGACATAACTTTGGATAGCTCTGACCTCATATGGATTATTCTACTCCCTGGAGGAGATCCGGTTGACTTAAAGCATGCAGGGTCTTCTGAACTCGTTGGACAGAAATCTGAGTGTTTGTCATGCTTTTCATATGTGTTAAATGTAAAATGATGCTCCAGGACTGGTCTGCAACTACTTCTGTTTTAAGGATACTGAGTGAATTGGTGGAATGTGTCCACCACTTCACTTACTTGGGGAGTTGCATCAGCCCGAATGGGCTGACTACTTACGAAATCCCAGCTCGAATAAAAAGGCCCTTTCGGTATTTGCCAGGTTGCGTCATCTATTGCTGTGGTGAGACTACCGACTACCTATTGAAATACTAGTGTACTGCGCTGCAGTTTGTTACGTCCTGTTGTATGGCTATAAGAAATGACCGTTAACAGCAGTAGATGCGAAACGGTTGTCTTTTTTTTATCACAGGTGTCTTCGTATCATTGCTTGCGTATAGTGGAATCACTAAGTGAGCAATGTGTAGGTTAGGCGAAGTTTACTAGGTGTAACAAGCAAGTCGGTCGATAAGGCAACTGAAGTTGCTTGGAAATGTTTTGCGCATGCCTGGCTGTCGCCTACCTCAATGTGCAATGCCAGGGGAAGTTGAATTAGGTTAGGTTTAGGATGGCCAGACCAGACCAGTGCATGAAGTATGTGACTGTTGGTCTGAGCCGTGTGGGGAAGTGTAGACAACCTGTCTAGGGTCCTCGAGACGATAGGGTTGAGTGTACTGCACTGCAGTTCGCTTTGTCATACTACACAACTATGAAACATGACCATTAAAAGTTAAGTACATGAGAGGGTCTTATGTGTTCGACCACCGTTGCCTTCTTAGCATAGGCCATGCATCGTAGTGTCACCACATCAGCAATATAGAAGTCACGTATGGAGTCTTAGGGAGGAGAGGAAAGTCAGTTGATCAAGTTGCAAACTTTAGTTGACTCAGACGACTGGGACATGTGCTTCGCATGCTTAACCGCCATCTGACTCGTCGCACAATGTTAGCTGATGTTGGTATTGGCTGGATAAATGTTGAGTAGCCAGACTAAAAGATAGCATCAGTGCACGAAATCCCCGACCGTTGGTCTGAGCCGTGTTGGAAAGTATAGACTTGTAGGTTACAATCCGTGGGGCAGCAGAAACAAAAGGTTGGAGACAGTAAGTGATATGTCTCAAGACCGATCTCAATGGCGCAGATGTATCCACACATAATCCTCATCTTCAGTAATTTCTTATTCCTCCTTGTTATCTTGTCACGACTTCCCACCTCTCAATTGCTTTTTTATCGTCTTCTTTTTTCTTTGTCTTAGTGCCTTTTTACTTGATATACTGCTATGCACTATGGCAACATACCACTACTCAGTAATATGAGGCTTTATGCTAATATTGTCTGTTCATCTAAATGTGATAACGATTTCACTTGCCATTTTAGTAAAATATGTTTTCGATGCATATCAGACTTGATTTCCAAGGAACTTCAATGCGGCTGTAATTGTTTACTTTCCTCTTGTAACTTACTTTCATACGGGTGCTAGGAAACTGCAATTATCTGGGAACTTTAGAAAAGTGAACTCACTATTCAGTTAATGTGCTTTCAAACAGCAAACAAATCAAATGTTTATGGCTTATCAGTCTGCTCACCTAGTTTCCGACCAATGGTTGTCACAGGTTCAGATCTTACTCAACCTTCTAAGATCTACGCTACCAGATAGGATTATTACGCAACAGGTGTGACGCGTGGCCAATGCATGAACCTGCACATGATTACTGAGTCACAATATTATTATCTATTCACTTTTTTGGCTTCTACCTTACTTAGTCTTATTATGTTGTTGGCATCCACTTTACTGTTCTAATAAGCATTTTCTTTATACAAATACTTAAGTGACCAGCATTTTGGTTTGTTATATCATATTAGGTGTCTGAAATGGAAGGGAAACAATGCGCAATTGATAATGGAGCACAATCATTTTTAGAAACATCGGCTAAAAATGGTTCAAATGTTCTTGAAGCGTTCACCGCTGCTGTACGAAGTGTTTTAGAACAAATTCAAAATGATCCTCATCCTAATCAAAAATCCTATCCAGTTGGCATTGGTCCTGCACAGTTAACTCTTCCTGAATCAAATGAATCACCTGGGGATAGAAAGTCTGCTAAACTGTGTTGTCGTACTTAGAGTGTTAGAGGAAGTTCGCTGATGCTGATATTGTGAGTTGATGTGTATTTTGACTAGTACTTCAAAATTGTTTATCGCTATAACGCAGCAGAGGCGTAGGATCTCACTTCTATTTTATTAGGTGTTGATATTGATATATTTTTGCGAAAGAACCCTTTTTTTCGTAAATGATATTGTTAAAAAAGCTGTGTAGCACGAAAACTTTTCGATTTGATTTTTCGTTGTTGTACGCTTAAAGTGATATCCGGTTTGACGTAAATCGTTCTTATGTTGACCGAGTCTTGTCGAAAATCCAAATAAGTCGAAATGCACTCAGCAACCTTTTACACATTGGTCCAGTAGGCAGTGAACCACACCTATTATGTGAGGGCTAATAATACTTCTACGTGGCTACCCAAACCTCGGTAGGTGGGGGGTTTCGAACTCGTGACCCGTTATCATATTATAATAACATACAGTTATCATTAATCTTAAGGATTTTCGACAAATTCATGCACTATTTGAGTATTATATTAGTCTTCTTAACAACGAAGGCTGATTGTCTTATGCTGTGGTTGATAGCTGAACAGTTTTGTAGTGTCGATTGCTATAAGTAAGCTATAAGTATGGGCTATTCTTCACCACTATGTTGCTTAACGCCTACTGACTGACTGACAAAATCAACTCAAAACCTCGCACACAGATGCATCGGCTCAAGTTGCCACAATTAACAGAAGTACACAAAAAACAGGTGAACAGAATAAGAGTAATATCAAAGTAGATAAAGTTGTGTGAGAGAATAAACAGTTTGAAGATGAAGAATGGTGCGACTGACTGCATCGACGAAATATGTACACTGTGCCAGGTCTTAGAACATAGGCACGCTTACAGACACCGACAATAGCTGTATTTCTCGATCTGAAAGCGGTGGCATTTGACTCCGTTGATCTAGAAGTCTTATGGCAATGTTTCTCACTGAAAGGCGTGCCGAGTAAGTATATCATCTTATTGAAAGCTCTCTACTCGAACACTTGTGGACATGTTAGAGACTATGGCGAGTTGTCCAGGGAGCTATACTCATCAAGTGATGTCCGTCGAGGATGCCCACTATCTCCATTCTTATTTAATTTCATCATAGATATACTTATGGAGGTTTCCCTCTCGTCACCTAATTACACAGACGTTGACCTAATCACAGGTGAATTTTCTTTAGATCTAGAATATGCAGATGACATAGTCCTGTTAGGTGAAGACGCTGACTGATGAGATGCAGAGTCTTCTGAACACTTTGAGTGGGAATTTGAGAATGTTTGGGATGCGATTTTCACCACCCAAATGCAAATTTTTGCTCCAGGACTGGTCTTCAGCGGTACGGCGGCTAACAGTAGAGAGTGAAGTGGTTGAGTGTGTTGACCACTTCACTTACCTGGGAAGTAGGATCAATCCTGGTGGGTTAGTTGCCGATGAGATCTCTGCACGGATACAAAAGGCTCGATCGGCTTTTGCCAATTTGCGCCACCTATGGCGCCGCCATGATATCCGTTTGTCTATTAAGGGTCGCGTGTACTGCACAGCAGTCCACTCTGTTCTACTGTATGGCTGTGAAACATGGCCATTGAAAGTGGAAGATATAAGAAGGCTTCAAGTGTTTGACCACCGTTGCCTTCGTAGTATAGACCGTATTCCGTAGTCTCACCACGTGAGTAATGCAGAAGTCAGGAGTAGAGTTTTAGGGAGAAGAGGTAAGTCAATTGACGAGGTTGTGAACCTTCATCGACTGAGATGGTTGGTACACGTACTACATATGCCTAGTCACTGATTGCCTCATCACACAATGTTGGCCGAAGTGCGTTTAGGCTGGAAACAGGCACGAGGTGGTCAGACTAAAACATGGCACAAATACATGAAGTCTCTGACTGTTGGTTTAAGCCATGTAGGGAGGGTGATGCAGACTTGGTGGTTGGGGTCCACGGGACAGGAGGAACCAGTAGTTGGAGACTCTAGGTGATCACATGGCTCAGAACCGATGTCAGTGGCGTAGATGTATGCATACATTATCCTCATCTTAACGACGCTATACCGAATCTCACCATTTTGTCATTCCTCCCTTCTTTCTTCTCTTACTTTTTATTTCTTTTGACTGAATTCTCTTATCGTCATCCTTCACCTCACTACCTTTCTACTTGATGAACTGACGTGAGGTGTGGCAACTCGGAGCGTTAGGTAGTAATGCCTAGTCCTATGTTGATATTGATTGCTTGATTGATTGTTGGTGCGAATATTCAAGTTTTAAAAGATGTGAATGGGTAAATACATCTACACCATTGTGACCAATTTTCATTCATGTCACCAAGAATCCTCAACCACTGATTCCTGTCATCTCGGAGACCCCAAGCAGACTCTACATCTCCTAACACTGCTCAGACCAACAATAAGAGACTTCATCGACTGGTGCCCCCTCTTTGTCTGGCCACCCCGAACCCTCTTCCGACCTAATCCAATTTCCCGTAGCATTGTACGTCGAGGTAGGGAGTGGCTCAGTATGCGTAGTACATGTCCAAGCCATCTCAGTCGACTAAGGTTCACAACCTCACTTTTTAGGGCCATGTCTCATGGCCACACAACAGGATAAAAGGGACTGTAGTGCAGTATGCTCGTCCTTTGATAGATAATCGGATATCTCACCAGCGCCAAAGATGACGCCTACTGTTAAAAAGTAATTTGGACTGCTACGTGCGATAAAATAGGATAGAATGAGGCTAATCTGTTCCTTAGAGTATTTTGATCCCCCGGATTTAACCAATGGTTAACTGGTTCGAGTTCCAACTTGTACCGGTGCACTTCTTATCCCAGGCTCCACGTTGGTTTATGTGTCTGTCTCCATCCGACCTAGCAAGGTTTGAGAAGTCAGACATTGTTTCTACCATTGTAACTAATTTTTCTATCCTATAATTTGCCATTTTTCTTAAAAATTGCCAGTTTGCATTGAACTGATACCCTTGTCCATGTACATTTGTTTCGTGGAAATGTAAATATGTCGGTGAGAAATACATTTTGTTACAGTTCAACTTGGTTAGATTTTAACAACAATAATATGGAAGTACAATCAAGCACCACTTACACTTCTGTCCAGGCAGTGAGCCACATCTATTGTGTAAGGGCTATGGATATTACCTGGTTGCTCAGACCTCGATATGTGCAGCAGGGTTAGAATTCATAACCTAATGGTTTGTAGTCGACTAACTAGATCAATAAGCCACAGCCGCAATTCACTAACTACTGATATATTTCGTTTATAAATGCAATTGCTGGGTGGAACACTTTCTTGGTTGGTGAATTCTCATAGAACATAATGTACTTGTAGGCATAGAGTAAAGGGTCAGCCATGATACATAACTACAGTATGAAATGTTGCATTAACTTAAAGGTACAATCATGAACAGTCACCAAAAGTAGCTGTCATTGTATAATATACGATTGAATTTAACTGTTTATAAAGATCCTAAGTGTATATTCACTCTCATGTAGTTTTTATCTGATTTATTAAAAAGCGAAGGTGGCAAGTATTGAAAACAAAACTATTGATCAGTTTTCTGTAGTATGGTATTATATGATGACTCTTGATCAAGTACGAAAAACAAACACTTAAGTAAATCGATTTAAAAAAAAAATAGAACAACTAGTCAGGAAATGTATTCTCTTCTGTAATAAATTATTCACTGGTATAAATTATATATAACACATAGTAAGTATGATTTTAAAAAATATTTTATACATTATCAGTAATGAGTTCAAGGGTGACTGAACGTCACTAATTGATTAGTTAGCCTAGCAATAATAATAATGATGCATCCAGTAGGTCTTTATGTACTAAGCTATGAGCCACATACCTTGTGTAAGGATGCATGACACTAGCCACTTGCCTAGACTAAAGTATGTAGAGTCGAGTTTGACTCTGATACCCACTACTTGGAAGTTGATTTCCTTATCCAATGAGTCTCATGTACACTAATTAGCTAAGACTCAGAATAGATTGTTTTTTGACTAATGTCTGATATCATTTGACTATCTGAGATAGCCTTAGTTTGGTAGACTAGTATTTATACTGGGTAATGATTGAAGATGAAATGAAGATTTGGACCTCGGCCAGATTCGAACCAGTGCTTACCGGTAGTAATGCGTCACGAATTCACATGGTAGTCAGATAAAAGCTTTGGTGTTTGAAGTGAAATCAAAATCTGATCAACAGTCGGACCTCGTAACTCAGTTGGTAGAGCATCGGGCAGGAAATCCGGTAGTAGCTAGTTTGAGTCTGACCGTGGTCCAAATTCTCACCTCGCCTTCAGTCATCACCCAGCATAAATACCAATCTGCCAAACCACGGTCATCTCAGATTGTCCAACGATAATCAATATGATGCTCCCGCTCTCTAATTCAGTTAGATTTGGATTGGGATGAGAAATGTTGACTAGGTTAGCCAGTGTGAATATGATCAAGTGGTAGTAGCACATCACCAATTCACATGGTAGTCGGACAAAATCCCGGTTGTGATTGATATAAAATCAAAATCTGGTCAGCAGTAGCTCAATTGGTAGACCATTGAGCTGGAAACCTGATAGTCGCTGGTTCGAATCCGACCATGGTCCAAATTTTCATCTCACCTTGAATCATCACCCAATATAAATAATGTCTCATAGTTACAAAAGAAAACATAAATTCTCCTACTAGGATCAATCAAATATGAAGTAGTATTCACATGGAAGACAGAAGGATAACATTATACACACGAGCCAATTGAGTAGGAAATATATATATATTTAGTTGCTTTGTTTATATCCCATGTTATCGTTCATTGTGTTAAGCTACTGTTTATCCAATTTATTTTTATTTCTTCTTCAGTTGATTTGTATTTTGCTTATAATAAAGATTATCAGTACATACATTGAACTCAACAAGAATTTCTGTGATATTTTATGATTTCAACGTGGACATATACTAAATTTGTATTATCTTTAATTTGGTGTAACGTATTTGACAAACTTGTATACTAAAACAGTAGAGATCTGTTGTTGTTGTTGTTGTTTTATGTTTTTGGCATTCTCTCTTTTCCTTTCCAAGTATCCTCTTCCCTTCTGTGTGAACAAATCGTTTAATTATATATATATATATATATATATATATATATATATATATATATATATATATATATATATATTCAACTATTACATCTCATCACCTCGTGCCATCCATGTTTCTGTGTCTAATTTGTAATCTTATTCCTTCAGTCACTACTTCAGAAATCTTTTGCTATTCATTTTGTGTTTCATATCTCTTTTTACTCGTCAAACTGTTACACATACAGTGTCACCTTCTTCATTCTCTTTACTGTTCTTCTTTTTCTTATTATTCCAGTGCTAATTTGAATATACAAATGTATACTTCTTTTTGGATACATTAAAGTACTTGATTTACTTGTTTATTGATTATAAGTAGTCTATTCGATATTCGGTGGTAGATTTTAACCACCTTTTTGTATGCATATATCACTTTTAGGCTACTTTTTAATGGTTTAAAAGGTATTTCCATTAGTTTACTTTATAGTAGCTTCTTGACAACTATTGTGAGCCTATGCTAAGCTATGAGGGGATCCGTTAAAGTTGTGTAGTGTCTGTTAAAAATGTCCACGCTATTTCTGTTCAACTATGTCATAGATTTTCTTGCTCACTCGCTCTTCATATGAATTCAAAGAGCTTGATATAATAGAGCTGTACCTTATTGGTCTAGGTACTTGACCTTCCAACTAGTAGCCAGTCACATGTTCAAACTCTGCTCCACCTGCCTAGATAAGTTTGTGACTACTGCATAAAGATGCATACGCATTTGGATTTCGTCGGGGACTGCTACAGTCGCGTTAGAGTATATAGATGACGAGTTTTTTTCAGATGAAAATAGACAATGCAAGTGTAGAATTAGGGTACATTGGTGGAGTGTACTATCATATTCGTCTATTTGATATAGCACATAGAGTGATGCAGTAATAGTTTCTGGATGACGTCTCGAGCACAGTTTATCACTCAAATTATGATTCTGCCACTTTTCTCTCATCGACTGCCAATACTATTCTTTTTGTATCTAAGATGTAATGTAGGCAAAATGACTAAGAATGTATCTAAGACTTCTATAGTGTTTCCTTTATAAAGAAAAGAGGAGACATCAGAGACCTCAAGTAGAATTCTCGGTGTGAGTGGGATTCAAACTTACAAATTTATTGGGAAGTGAACTTTGTCTGTTTGAGGATTCTACTGACCCAATTAGATCACTAATTTAATTTACCAAATATGTTGACCTCTTTATATACTTGGGAAGTTGAACTAGTCTTGGTGCTTCAGTGACCAATGGAATCTCTGCATGGATACAGAACGATCGATCTGTTTCCGCCAACCTTTGAGATTTACTGCACCGTCAAGATATCGGATTGTCTACTAAAAGTCAAGTGTAATGGACAGCAAGCTGCTCTATTCTACTGTATGGCTATAAAATGAGACCATTTAAGTTAAGAAGAATTCAGAAAGGCTTCAGGTATCCAACCACCGTCGTCACACCACGTGTGAGCGGCGGAAGCACTACTTGAGGAATGTAACGATTAAACATGGTTTTGTGTAAGACAGGTAATCACTTAATCAGGTTGTAAACATTCATCGAATGAGATGATTGTGACACTTATTCTCTGTTACTACTGCTGTAAAGTGTAGCAACTCGTTTAACTCACGCCTTGTCACCTACCCTGACAACCTGTGTTACGTGGTGCTGGAATACGTTAAGAAAAAGCTGGGGCTGACCATTGTACAATATAGAATCAGTTTATGAGGTTTCTTACTGTGACTTTGAGCTGCGTAAGCGAATGTTGACTTTCCGACCCCCAGAAGTGGTTGTTACAGACTGAGTGATGTGACTGAGAATTGACCTCAGTGATGCAGGCGCATCCTCACCTTAACGTCATATGAACCGCTGCATCATAGACTAGATTGTTTGAAAATATTTGGTTTATCCCTTTCAGTTGACAGACTCTTGACACGCATACGGAAAACTCACGTTCTATGCTTTAATTCCTGGCATCTTTGGTGCTAGTGGGTTACCCAGTTATCTAATAAAGGACGTGTGTATCTACGTACAGTGTTATGGTGTCCACCCTATGGTTATGAAAAATCGATTGCAGATCATATGGTGAAGTTACTGGTTTTGGTCACTTACGTTCAATATATGAAGGCTATGGAATAGGATAAGAGAAGAGTTGTGTTTGGAAGAATGCTAAGTTGCTGTTTTGTCGAACTCCGTTGCTAGCGTTCACATTGATTGCCGGTGAATGGAGTTCATTGGTGTGTTTTTACAAATCCAGTAAAGATAATCTTCAGACTAAGGAATTCATTCACTGTAGAGTATTTGTAAATGTGTCCATATCCTTTCAACTCATATGCTGTATAGTAGCAAGTATGTGATAGAGATTAAGGCCTATACATATGTGAACAGAATCCAAGATTGACTGACAGTTTGAAAAATAGACCTGAGGTGAGTGTAGGCTCTTAGCCTATCCCTGGTGTAAGTATTGTGTTAAGTTGTAGGACAGAAAGCGCATTTCTCAAACTGTTACCAGTTGATAGCTGAATGCATCTGTAATGACTAGGAAAGACAGACACTTGTTGATGCCTGTTCGTAGTCTCCACCTGCGTGCCCACCAACTGCAGTTCAAGTGCTACAGAAGATAAGTCCTACCAAAATCTGTCAGCCTCACGAAACGTCCAGATATAGTCATAATAGCAGTCGACTTCGCTGATCAACGTAGGGAAGCTGAGACAATCGGAAGGGCACCTGTGGTATCGCCTGCCCAAAACCGTGGTCACCTACTACAGTAGTAGGTGGCGAAGAAGATGGGTAAAATGTCAGTCTTAAGTAATACTCTGAAACTATTTTGGCTTGGTAAGGAAACTGACAAGAAAGCCGGTGGTTGATGAGATCACCACCGAAAAAGATGGGTCCCTAACGACCTCTGGAATGTTGAGCAGGCCAATTTTTAGAACAGTTCAACCGGCCTAGAAAAACGCTTCAGTTATTCAGCACCCAACCCAAACGTAAGTGGGAAGTTGATTTCAGTTCTGTTACCCTCCTCGAAATTGAGAAGGCTATTTTAAACTTGGAACGATGCAAAGCAGTAGGACCAGACAACTTGCCACCAGAAGTTTTTTCGGAAGGAGGTAGAGAGTTATCGAATGCAGATATTAGCTGTTGCATACGAATCGATGCAGTCCCATCAGAGTGGTTTGAATTGCTGATAACTCCAGTTTATAAGGAAAGAGATAAGTCTTCTTGTGAGAGCCATCCCTAGATTTTCTACTGGCTAGAAGAGACGATAATACACTGAAAAGGTCCATATACAGAAAGCTAAACTGGAGTGGATCGTCGACAAACTTCTATGGTCGGGTCCTATTAACTAGAAAGCATGGTCTTATTCTCTCCATGTTTACACGATACTATAGAATTTCTGCATAGAAGAGGAAATAAGTTTCTTGGAAACCGCATTTTAGAAAATTGGACACCCATTATATTTCGCTGGGAGAAATACAAAAAATAAGAACACAAAGAATCACCAACACTGTTTCGAAGTAGCTATTGTTCTTGAATTTAGAACTCAAGGGGGATATTGCTAGATATATTCTTAGGCACCGTATTGGAAGTTTGATTCGCAATACGTTCTGTGCACCGAACCCTAGAATAAATAGTATATCAAGGTCGCCCCTTAATGTGCCCCACCGGAACAATAAGTTGCGTAGACCAACCATTTCAGTGTGTATTTATCAGTCCACTTGCTCATATTAAGCTAGGCATGTAGGTCGTTCGTCTAAGTCTATCCTTCACCTCATTAGAGGACATCTTCCAGTAAAGAGCAACGAAAATCAATCAACTCATCTATCTTGCAACTTGTGATCAACATGGGACATTCAACTTCGAGTGCCTCTTCCCATATTAGTTGCAAAATTCAGCCATAACATCTACGTCTCCATCTACTCTGTATAGTAGAAGCCTTGGGAATTCACAATTTGAAGCCAGGGCTATGTATACCAGAAGAATTTGTTAAGTCTCTTTCGTTACTACGGTCCAAATATGATTGACTAATGAGGCATTTGAATATCAGTTTGGAATTCATCATGGAGTGACATCAGTTAGAGGGACATTGGAAACCTGGGAAGAGTGGACAGCCGTTTCGTCCTAGTATGGAACTCCCCGACCGATAGCTGCTACCTTGACGTGGTGGTCGGGCTTGCATATCACAATGACCCAACGAGCTATACTGGTGGAACGCTTGTTCCCTCGAGGTCCTACCATACCAGAAAGGTCTGTTGGATAGTGGTTAGACGAAAAGCAGTTACCGTTATAGTGTAAATTGCTACACTATGATGGGGGTCTGAGGGCGAAGTCGTACTGCTGCTAGCTGGATGGGGTGTGACAGCAGTAAGGTGTTTCCCTTGGATGACCAGCAGTGCCATGCTGATGCTGCCTTCTCAGTGGAAGGGGGGGTTAGAAAAGGTCGGCCCCAAAAATAACACACTCCACCATGCCCCACGGTCTGCCGGGCCGGCGGTGTTGGTTCACTTGTCGTTTCCTTTCGACCATCCGGCCCCAAAAATACAAAAGTCAAAATAATCATACTCAAAAGGCTGCGTGTGACAGGCCTCAAGCAGATGTCCGATGGGCTCTGCGGTCACACAAATCTCTTTCAGGTACCTTAAGAAGAAATAGCCTTCCACGGTGTGGGCAGCCGGGAAGTGTCAACCGCCCTCACAACTCTGTCAGCACTCAAGTTTCTTCTGACTGCTATCCACCTCCTCCATCATTACCTTCTAATCTTCCTTCACGTCTCTTAATTAATGATGCTGCATCATCTTCAATTTCTCCTACCTCTGCAGCCTTCGACAACGATCTGAGTCCACAGAACAGCATCACTGGTCTCCTTAAACCACGCTCCAAATTACATATTGGAGCCTTCAATGTCCGCACCCTCCGTCAAATTGGTCAACAGGCTTCGTTAGCAAAGACTCTAGCAACTCGGGCCATGGATGTGTGCTGTGTT